GCCCTGCTCTAGTGCTGACCACTGTGAGATTGCAGAACACTGGTCAACTGTTCTGCAGGTCAAGTTAAAGTCCTACAACACAAAGCACACTGTCCTTTTTTAGTCACTAGTGACTAAAAGGTTCTCATTAGCACGTTTCCACGCACTGAGCACATACTGCTTTGCCTTTACAGTATGGCCCAGATAAACCTCAAATTCACACTGTACAAGATCTATCGTAAAACATTGTTAGATCCCAGGAGGTCTGGACTCCATCTACATTAAACTTTTCTATAGCATTGAAGGTCTCAGTGAGCACCGTGGCCTCTATCATCTTAGTCAGGAAGCTGAGTGTTAGGGTACCTGGGTCGTCCACCCAGTGTTTGTGTTTTTGTTTCTCTGAGTCTTGTTAATTTATTCGGTTCTCTGTGTATTTTATATTTCTTTGCCCAGTATGATTTTACTCCTGAGTTTATTCTCTATTTCTAGTCTTGGTTTGCCTTCGTGATTCCTCCCCTGTTAGGTCAGTTTTGTCTTCATGTGCATCTGTCTGATCCCTTAGTCTGTGTCTCTGCGTACTTCCTGTTTTACTTTGATAGTCTCCCGTCGGTGTGCGTCAGGTTCTGTTTTGCGTCTCCCCGGTCTCATCTGTTTAATTAGGGTCAGCTGTGTTTCCTTTCTGGTTCTTGTTCCCTTATTTAACCCATGTATCTATTGTCTGTGTTTTCCTCTGTTCAGTGTTGTGTGTTTCTAGTTTAGTTTCTAGTTTAGTTTCTAGCGTTCCCCAGTTTATTTCCTGTATTGACTCATGCCAGCAATAAAGCTGAGGTTTTTGAGTTTATGTTCGCATGCTGGAGTCTGCATTTGGGTCCTCCATTCCTGCCTGCCGCACACAGACCATGACACGAAAAACCTGACAGTGCTCCGGCGCTGCTCTGAGGATAACCTTCCAATGAGACAACCATTTCTGCAACAGTTACGCCTGTCTGGCCTGACAAAAGCCACTCCTCAGTAAAAGGCACACAACAGCCTGCATGGAGTTTGCCAAAAGGCACCTGCCAGGCAACCTATCAGATAATGACAAAACAAAATTCTCCAGTCAGATGAAACAAAGATTTAAGTCTTTGAGAGTCATGTCTGGAGCACTGCTCATCACCTGGCCAATATAATCCCTAAAGTGAAGCATGGGGATGGTAGCATCATCCTTTAGGACGGGTACTCTGGCTAGTCTTCCCAGTTTCTGAGGAAAAAAATGAATCTAGCAACACAGAGACATCTTTGATCACGTTCTAAGCTGAGTTCAAGGTTATGGCACGGTGGTTAGCACTGTTGCCGCACAGCAAGAAGGTCCTGAGTTCAATTCCACCATCAGG